AGCAACACAGACAGATATAATGTCACAAGACACCGCAACACAGACAGATATAATGTCACAAGACACCGCAACACAGACAGCAACACAGACAGATATAATGTCACAAGACACCGCAACACAGACAGCAAACATTGTAAGGTAGCAACACAGACAGACAGGCGGGTAAGATAGAGTATGCAATGAGACATCTCGTCTTGGGGTCGAGCTGCTAAGCTGCTGCTTCGTACGACCTCGGTCAGGGACATGCGTCCTGGGGTTTAGGGTTGAGCATGATGGATGTCTGCTTCATTCAGACAGGCGAATGTTTTCATGATAATTAAACTAAGTATCATTAACAAATGACTGATTATACTAAAAAAAATTAGGGCTGCAATTCACTCACACGCACGCACGCGCCCACACACACACACACACACACACACACACCTACACACGGACGCACGCACGCACACTCTCCTCATGTAAGCCACACATAAACAGAACTGCACAACCCACAGACCATTCATCACGCTAGTGACTTCAAATGAAAATTTACTGCACCATACAGCCGCCATTAGCCATTTCCGCAATAACAACAGAGCAACAGAAACACCTTTAATGAGTTTTGAACTCGCGTTGTTTTGAGAGAGAAATCCACACGATAAATGCCTTTTATCAATAACTCGAGGAAAACTAATTTACGAATCACGACAAACTACCCTATAAATCATACGGACGATCAAGATAAAAGCCAGCGTCAAGTCGCGCGGCTCATGGTGAAAGCGTGAGAGCGGGATTAGAGGCAAGCAATCAGGAGGCAGGTGAGTAAGTGTTGATTAGGTGGCGTACCTGTATGATGAGTGAGCGAGCGCTGCTGGACAGGTACGATGGCAGCGTGTATCTGTTAGCAGAGATGCGAGCGTACGTGTCTTTGAGCGTCGCCGTCTCAAACGGTGGACGTCCCACCAACAGGGCATACCTACAGAAACATATCAATACTCATCAATGATAATCATAACGAACAACAGTAATAATGACAATAATAACAATAACATTTAGAAGGTGTGTCAATTCCCAGTGTTTCCACCCCAATAGGAAAACAAATCATAGTGATCTTCATTTGATATCTAGAGGTAATGACTTTCCGTTTTCGAAACTACAAGAACTCAACCCATCTCCAGGTGAGATAGCAAGGTGATGGGCAGGTGATGGGCAGGTAAGATGGGCAGGTGATGGGCAGCTAAGATGGGCAGGTAATCAACGCCGTTCTGGCCGTTTGTATGTTTATTTGCAAACACTACCAGAGGTCATAAAGAAGTTGCGGAGAGGAGGTGAGGGAAGAGGGAGAAGGGGTAGGTTAGGTAAGGGGTAGAGGGATAGGTAAGGGGTAGGGGGATAGGTAAGGGGTAGGGGGATAGGTAAGGGGTAGGGGGATAGGGAAGGGGTAGAGGGATAGGTAAGGGGTAGGCGGATAGGTAAGGGGTAGAGGGATAGGTAAGGGGTAGGGGGATAGGTAAGGGGTAGAGGGATAGGTAAGGGGTAGAGGGATAAGGAAGGCACGTGAATGTATGAGGCGTGGCATTTACTCTTACATAGATCACACACAGATGGCGCTAGCGTCTCTTCTCCTCATAGACTCCCGTACATAGTAAGGGCGCATGAGACCTGACACATACGGCAGCATCGCCACTCATTCTTTATTAATTTAATATATTTCTGTTCGATGCCTATTCAGGCCTGCCGCCTATGGAAGCCCTCTACTGTTGTTCAACACCTACATAGTAAGGGCGCATGAGACCTGACACATACGGCAGCATAGCGCGGTCCCCCGTACAGCAGAGTATACAATAACTAACTACATACAGTGAGATCGACTAGTGATCGAACAGAAGCACGAAGCATGCAGACTCCGTGTCTCGCGGTGTTCAGCATCTATACATGTACGTATATATACACGAACACAGGCGACGAGAGAAGTTCGATAAGATGTCTTAGTCACTGCGTATAGCAGCGTCATCATCATCATGCTCAGCCGTGTGGTGGATGAATCATCATCAGCAGCAGCAGCAGCAGCAGCAGCACTAGCAGCAGCAGCAGCGCACCCGTCATCCGTCTCACGCAAACAATAAGATAAGATGCCGTGAAGATATCAAGCATGATATCATTCAGCACAATAATGCCTCCACACCCACACCCACACCCATCCCACTGCCACACCCACACCCACACCCATCCCCTGCCTCCTCCACACCCACACCCATCCGACGTGTGCGCGCGTGTATGTGGAGGGGGGGGGGTACTGCGTGTCTGCACGTGTATGTATACTCACCCGTACTCATACGTTCTCTTTCTCCCTTTTTCTCTTTCTTGTTCTCTCTCTCTCTCTCTCTCTCTCTCTCTCTCCTTTTCTTCTCACTCTCCATCTCTCTCTCTCTCTCTCTCTCTTTCTCTTTCTCTCTTTCTCTCTCTCTCTCCCTTTCTTCTCACTCTCCATCTCTCGCCACCTATCCATCACTCCAACACCCACGCAGCCACTAGCAGCCACTAGCAGCCACTAGTAGACGATTCATTCAAGACATCAAATACTTCATATCAACATGCCGCTAGCGAAAAACCGACGTACACTTACTCGGTAGTACTTGAACACGCGCGATGTGTACAAACACGGCGAGCACATACAAGGCGAACACAGACATAAACGTTTAAAGGGTACATGGTTACAGCATGAACGAGGGCGACGTTACCACGAGGGGGCGCCAGCGTTCACCAGACGTCGACACAGGGTGAGGTATGTTCGCGATCGACGCCGTGGTGTCCCCGTGACGTACAACGTCGCTGTTGTGCTATGGTAGCGCACCCTGGCGTTGCCCTTAACGAGGCGACAGTAGCCATGCTCATAAACTGTCGTTGGTGTATAAACTCATAAAGGTGGCCTACGATACGCACCGTCCTGTGAACGAGAGTTGCTTTATAACCTCATGATTATCTACAGATCTAAGGGTTTACCAGTTTACACACGGGTTCACATGCGTCAATTTATACCGCCCCCTCTCTCCCTCTCTCTTCGCTCACTTGCTTGCTCTTTCTCTATCTCTCGCTCTCCCCCTCTATTTCTCTCACATAATCTATCATTATCTCTCCTCTCTCTCTCCTCTCTCTCTCTCGTGTACGCGCTCTTCTTGCTTTTATTCGCTATCCCTCTCCAATAATTTTACCGACAAACTATTTGGTTTAGCTGTCATACGCACGTACGCACGCACGCATGCACACGTACGCACGCACGCACACACACGGACGCACGCATGCACGCGTAAATACACCATCACCCACCATAAGCTGACTACAGCACAAAGACCACACATAGTTGACACATAGTTGACCACATAACTGACCACATTCATTTCCTCACTAAGGCTATCAACCCAAGATTAACTGGACAGCGGGGACAACAACTGCGCATGCGCACGGCCGTCCGCCTGGCAGCCCACCCGCGCACTTGTCTCCACTCACGCCTCGGGGGGGAATCTAAACAGGTTGCCAAGGCGACCGCCATATCGCAGTCTGTTTAATCGTTCAAATTGAGAGGTGGCGCGCCATATTTGTCCTTGTAGTTAATGTGACACTACCGCCCTCCCACAATCTCTCTCGCTCTTTCGTTCTCTCTCTCTCTCTCTCTCTCTCTCTCTCTCTCTCTCTCTCTC